TTTTATCCCAGGATCAGGGTCCACCATCAAAGAAGTGACAGTATAGTTAGTTTCCAAGATGATCAAGGAACAAGCAGTCCTCCACATGCAAAGGGCTCATTATTTGAATTACATTGAAACATCTTTTTATTCCACTTTCTATTCATCTTAAATACAACAAAACTGTCTGAAATCGTTTACCTGCCTGGAGCAGAAGCACCCCCTCCCTCATCAGTTGAAAAGAGTCATGTTGGTGGGGAGTGTTCATTTGGTTGGTACCATAGAGGTGCGACCGCAATGTGTGCATTTCATAGTAGATCGTGTACCAGTGAAGGGAAGTTCCCACCTAAGGAGCCTCTGTTGCTTGGAAAATTGTGCCCTCTCTTGGTCCCACTCGGGGCCCCTTGGTTGGGCTCAGTGTGAAGGGCACTTTTGAAACATTTAATTTTTTCATGCTTTTCTGCTGTGGTGTCCTATTTGGGAGACAAACAGTAGTTCCCTTTTGAAGATTTTTTTTATTCAGATTGTGAAACCGAAATTTGCTCACCAAAGAAATTGGTAAGGAAGAACGCTGCTCATTGGCCTACTGTTATGACGTGAAACAATGAGTCACTGAAGCCAATTGCGACAAAATATTCAACATTGGGATAGTGGTAGTGGTTGCATTGCGGTTTCTGCCTGTGATGACATCGCAGTTTTGCTCATAAATATGCAAATTCATTCTTAAAAGTATCAAGTTCCCTTAAATAGACATGAGAAATATTGAAAAGCAGATTAAGCAGGGTGTGAGTATTTACAAGAATTGCATTAAAAACAACCACCTTGCTTAGTCCCTTGATCACACTGAAATTTGTTCCATTGAAGACAAATCTGATAAGACTCCATTCCGAGGGGCCATTTACACTCACGCAGCTGTCTCAACCTGAGCGCGTGCGTACTTCAGCAATTTACTACTGCCTATTGCTCAAGGAGGAATTTCACGCGCACGCACCACCTGCGTGCGAACAGGATGGCCCCTTATAATGGCATCTAATTTTGGTCACTGGATTTGTCTATAGGGTGAAAAACAAACAATCATTGGTTCATTAGAGCAAAGAAGACTAATGGCAAGGCCCTTGGGAAAAAATATTGAAAGTTTTAAAGGAAAAAAGGAACACACTCACCAACAGCAAATGTGATGGAAATCTCCAATTTGAACTAAGATGCTTTGTCATTGTTTTATGCTGCTGCTGAGTGCATTGGTCCCCCCCAAAAAAGAATTAGCCCCTTGGCACAGTTCTCACCCATTCATGCCATTGCAGGTTTTGCAGAATCTTCTTTAAAACAAGCCTCAAATGTGTTGTGTTCTTTTCGGACTGTCATATTTTTCCTCTGTCCCACTGTCCAGGTGCTCAGTCATGACCAGCTGGGCAAAGATGATTTCATGGGGGAGAAGATCATTGAGCTGGGCCAGATGGACTGGAGTGAGATCACAACTCGATGGTTTGAACTTGAAGCCGAGGTAAAGACTTTTTTTCTTGTGGGCGCTGCCTGGGCTTGATTTTGGCCCAGATTCAATGTGAAATTTGGCATGCAGGTTCGGAATAGGCCGTTTTTTTGTTTCAAGCCTTACCTGTGGTAAGCTGTTCCTATTTCAGTGTGGGGGCTGCATGTTCATTTGGTCAGTCCGTAATAACAGATTCACTTCACACAGTACATCCAGAGAATTCATCCAGATTTGGAAAAAAATTAGTCCATGCGGACTTGGCTACATGCATTCTGTTACATTGACCCACACCGACCAATCTTGGCATCCTTGATTTGCACTGGCATTCCAGCCAGTCAGTACAGATTTTAGGTGGAGACTTGCTGTGGCCATACTGTCCTCCACCCCCCCTCCCCCCACGTACATGTATATGTGGAGCTCTGTCACCTTGGATTTGGTTTGAAATGAGAATCCCTTCCAGTCTCCTTCGTGAGCAGTTTGAGAGGGCGGGATATTCTGAAATTTTGTGTCTGCCTGCTAAAATTTCCTATGTTCTTTTTTCTAATTTCTTTGTGTATTTTGTGTTTCTTTCCGAAAATCACCTACTTTATATTTTAGCCAGGCCTTTGTTATACTTCAGCAAGTAACAAATTACATACATGTAGGCCACCGCAGGCCTCGACATTAAGCTTTTTTGCTTGCCAAGCAAGTTAACCAGTGTTTTATTGCTAGCCTGTAGGAATTTTCACTTGCCATCTGGACATTTTGTAGCAAGAGTGACTTTGGCTTTTTTTAACTTAAGTTCTCAGTGCCCCTGTTACAGTGGAGTCCTACTGTCAATTTAAACCTAAACATGGAGGATTCAAACTGCTACAATTAATAATAAGATTCAAAATTCACATTTGGTTATTCATCTTTACAAGTAAGACAAATTATAATTTCAAGTAGGAAGGTATTTTAACTACCCTACCGTGCAAGGTCAGGAATGCATCTTACTAAACCGCGGCACTTTTTATTAGACTTGGTACACTGGTGTAGTGGTAAGTTTGAAGCCATTACTATTGGTGTATTACTCAATGGGTTCTGAGTGTTAACAAGTAAGCATGGATGTAACTTTGCTTTACATGTACACATAGCTAAACATATAACTGGAATTTTGCCAGAAATTGTTTCATACTGTCTGTTGAGGAGTTGCCCTTAAATAGATCTGTATTCTAGCCATTTAAATGCACAAGCAGAAATGACTACCGTAAACCATGTCTCGTATTTTCTCGGGATATTTCAGACTGACCTTGACATCAGCGGGGAACTTGAGATCAGTCTGTCCTACAAGCTGCCAGAAACACTGCAAGTGTTGATTCACAGAGCAACAGATCTAGTGTGTAGGGAGAAGAACAGGCCACCACATCCATACGTCAAGGTATTTCTTTTTTTCAGTTCTCCTGAAAGACCGTCACTAAAAAGGTTGTGTTTTCTTTTTCCTGCCAGTTTACTAATCAGGTCATATCTGTTACTTCAGTACAAGGTGATGACATTCCAACTTCCAGAGAAAACTGGTCCAAAATACGTGTATATCTCCATCTCCTTATATACATTGTACACTCCAGAAAGCAAATTGAAATCCTAAGCAACTTCTGTTGAGTTTTTCGGTTTCTACATGTCATGCATATACGCACAATTCTACAAAAAGTCCATGGATGTTATTTTGCACGTTCAACTCTTTCATCAGTTGTAGGAAGCCTGTGACACACTTTGCTGTCACTGTACATGTACATGTATGCTGGTGAAATCATCAGCAGGGTGCCTTAACCACTTGTGGGCAATATGAAATTTTCCAGTCCCAGTAATGTGTGTGTCTGAAAATACTGTCCTCTATATATGCAGACGTTGTAAACTCTAGCTGTTGTTGGACGGTGGCTTCCAGATTTGTAGGGTCATATCGTACCGCATCGTAGCTGTTTCAGATTTGACACAGAGTGATGAATTTTGCAATGACAATTGGTTAATTCTAGAAATAAGTGGTCCATTTTTTTTGTGTCCTTGTCACATCTGACATGTGATTTTGTAAGTTCAGAACACATTTTCTAATTTCCAAGAGTGCTGGATTAATGCAAATTACCTGCCAAACAGATAGTAATAGTTTGAAATCGATTCTGGTGATATTTCCATGTCAAATAACAAAGGTCAGATGTACATGTAGCAGGGACCCTACTTGAAGATATGTTGTCAGTTACCAGGGGATGGGGACAGCTAGAGGATTAGTACAGTAGCAACCGCTACATCAAGATAACTTGTAGCATCATGAATCCATCTTACCTTGTTAAATCTGATAAAAAGGACTTGGAGTTTCAACAGCAGAATTCACACTGTTGCTATATTTTGATGGTTTCTCTCTGCTGATCTCCCGAACTAGATCATAATTCCTGGCATTCCCAAAGTTGAAGAGACCAAGGTCATCAAGGCCAGCTGTGAACCAGAATGGGAGGAGATATTTGAGTTCAACGTCCCACGGGAAGAACTGATAGACAGGTGAATGTCACGCATGTTATTGTTTGGCACAAAGGTCATTTGTCACTCTACCTGAGAGACACAGGTTCTGTTGGTTTCACACAGATCTGAATCTCGATCAGAGATCCCAACACCGGTTTGGTCCATCTTTGGGTTTTGGTCTCAGCGAACCAATGACGGATCACTGGTCATGATCCAGATTTGTGGGAAACAGTCAGGCCTTGAGTTTGACCCTCCTGGGAGTAGGCTTCAGTGAGGGTCCCTTCCAGACCTGGGGGTGGAATAGACTGCCACCAGTGACTGAATGATGCCTGTCAGTTTTAATTACGTGTTTTGCCCTTACACTGGCATATATTCATAACATCGCATAATCAGTGCATGTCCAAGAGCTTTCGAAAATATTCACAAGCCTACTCGGTTGGGACTTAAACCTACGACCACCTGCTTACTCGTGCAGATATTTTAACCACTTGACCACCGAGCTTTCCGGGGTCGGCTGGCTGGCCCAAGTCAATTGTAGCAGTGGGCACCGCAAACTATTTGAAGATGTATTTCGTTTCGGGGAGATGTAAGGGCAAAAATCTGTAATTAGATCCATCAAAAAAGAGGCTCTTCTTCACACTTGTGCGACCATGTCTAGAATATCATTGCCGCTTAAAAATCCATACAGAGTGGACCAAACGTGACCTTGTGACAAGGCTTTAAGGAGAGCTGCCAGATTGGTTTGTGGGAGTTTCTCAAGAAACAGTTGGTGGTCTACTGGCTTTTGTTAACATGCTGAGAGCCATAAATTAGGACAACCTCTGAATGAAGCATCGTAACCACCAGATCACAACGCTGGTTAAAGTCGCCCTTCACATTATCACAACAGATTCTAGTCACATCCTGAAACCAAACCACGAGGAGGTCAAGTCATGGAGGCATGCGCGTGCCACAAATTGTCTAACATTGTGACGTTAATGTCAGGTCTGTTTAACAGTATTTGCTTGCACTATTTTAGGGGATGAACTGCAGACACATTCCCCCCCCCCCCGGCATGATATCCAATTGACAAGGCATTTTGACAGCATTCCATAGATATGGACAGATTGCTAGATTTGTCACTGTGGATAGATATGATCAACTAAACTCTACCAGATGCTGAAATAAAGTCCAACAGATGAGTCGGTGCTGGCAATTCTGTGAAGGAAATGGATCATGTAAATTGCAAATCAAAGATGTCTGTATTTCCTTCCATTGCTTATCCACCCAGAATGGGAACCAGACTAGGGCGCACCTTTGCATAGCAAAAATTATCCGTAGGTGAGAACAGTTGATCTCGTTTGTAAAGGAGATCAATGGCAGGAACTCGCTGGGTGTATGCACAGGTTGATATACGCATAGAGTGCAGACCGCACCTAGCATATGCTATTAACCAGATGCTGCCAGGTTTAATTTGTTTCATGTTTCATGACGTATTCCTGGGGGATTTTCAAGATTTTCTGTATTCAAAATTCTTCAAAAATTCATAACTTCATTTACTGGACGTTTACACCCACACGGTGACACGAATGACTGTCTGGGGTGGCTACTCTAATCTGACAGACAACATCTATTGATGCCTGAGTATTTCAGAGAGCCCCGATTGTGTAGTGATATGTAATTTTCTGTTGTACCCGAAACTGGCCCAGTGCGTTGCTGGTATCTTTTCAAATGCGGACCAGATTAGCATGCAGCTGTATTGTATCGCTCAACCCTGGAGCGCTGGAGCACTTTTGTCCCCACAAACAGTGGTGTAATCATTCAAAACAATGACAGATTTCCTCCGCTATCAACAACTGAAAAAAATGTTGGCAATTCCCAGCAGCTCAGTCTTTTGTTCCGAGTATGGTCTTTTGTTACAAGGCCCAGCTCTTTTGTCCAATTTCAGGCAGCCCGGCTTTGCATATAAACCCAAGGAGCCCGGTGGGGGAAAGCCCAGCACTAAGTGGTTAAAATGTTGCTTGTGCGTCAGGTGCATTCAGGAGTCCAGTTGAAAAGCTTCCAACTAGCCTTTCTCTTCTTTGCTATGTGGGTGCACATCAACTCATGGTGACTTCAGTTGCTGGCTCTAAGGTCAGGCAGAGTGCCAGTGAGTGATAATGATATGGTAATCTTTTCCATGCTAGGTTTTTAGTAATGCTCCCTTTTTTTCCCTTTTATTTGTTGGTGTACTAAGGTATATCGTCCTGCATGTGTTGGACAAGGCTTTCCTCGGCAGTGCTGAGGCCCTGGGCCAGGTCTACATTGACCTTGCAAACCTGGATGTTAACGAGGGTTACAAGGGCAAGTTTCCACTGGCAGACTTGGTGAGTAAGGATAAGTCTTGGGCAGGCACATGGGCTTATTACCTCATGAATGGTTCTCAAATGCTCAACACTCAAACATGGGAATAATTATGTTTTCCTTGTGCTCTGAGGTTGTGTACATTGGTCTGTATTTATGAGACAGCAAGGATTAGGCCGAAGGTTTTCCATCCACTATCTCTTTGTCCAACCCTTGCACGACAAGTGAAAAATGCGTCCAACATTTGTTTGACACACACAATCAAATCTCATGAATAAGAGCACTGTTTATGCAACATTCTGCTTGTAATAAAGACATCTTTAGGTCCCAATTCTTTGTTCTTCACTGGTTTCATTCCCAAAGGACCTCTTCTTAATGAGGTTTGATTGTATTTTTCATCAGTCATGCAATACTTGGAGTAATTGGAGTACAGTGTGTGTGATCTTTATTTTACTTTTCAACCAGTGCCAGATACCATTGGCCATAATGAATTCAAAGATGAACGTCAATATCGATCATTATTATCAATAATATAATCTTGCCATTGCGCCAAATAAAAAAAAAACTTGCTTGTCTTACTGTCTCCAGTGGGCTAAAAACTGCGTAGAAAGTGTAGAGCTAGCAACATGGACTGACTGACTCAGCTGAAATGCTTATTTCTGTTGTGTAAGGGCAAATCCAAGGGGAGGGGCATTAGTGGCTCTAGTCCCACCCCTCCTCAAAGGCCAATTTTAAATTTAAAAAAAAAGAATGAAAGGGGGAACATTTAGGAACACCATGTACATGTACATGTGAAAGGCCCAAATAAATTTCCAAGTACTTTGCCCCCCTCTTGAAAACTTAGTTAAGGATCTGCCCTTGATATTGTGATACCCTTCTTGGATCATTCTTGTCACTCAACAATGTTTCCATATTTAATTAAAGTTTAGCTGCAATGAATTTTTCTTCTCTGCAATTTGTCTGCAACTTTGTACTTTTCCTCAGTGTATGAAAACTCTTTTACATTCATTCTTGGTTAAATGCACTGAAAAGGGCTTTTTTTTCAACACTTAAGGTTATCAATGTTTTCCAAGACACCTGAGGGCGCTGTTGCCGTGATGTCATCCGTGGAAGACATGGTTTAGTGCATAGGTTTTAACAATTGTGAACTCAGAATATATTTCATGAAAACGTTTTCTGAGTAAGGGATTGATTCTGGCTTGTTTTTCACATGTACATAAACAACAATGAATCAGCAACGAAGCAAAAATTTTGTCCAGCAACATCTACAAACATGCAGGACTATGTTGTGTACACACAATATGACACTGAGGCTTGCTTCCTAGGATAAAATCACAGTTTTGCTCATGGATATGAAACAAGCAGTAAAAATACTCTTTGAAACAGTGGAACAAAAGTTGAAAATAAGGTTAACTGAGACACCAAGGTGCATTTAGAAGGTTTGTATTGAAGCAAATTGATTGCAGCTGCCCTTTAATAATTGTTCGTGCGTAAATAGTGGCATTTCAAAGTGGAAATCAATTGCCTCATCGTCAGTAACCGAGCCATCACACATTCCTGTCTGCAGTTTTGTACACTGTTCATTGAGATGCTGGCTCTGTCCAAACCTTTTGACAGAAAAACTCTGACCGTGTGCGCACCAAGTGGGCCCAGACGGCTACTGTGCAGGAGTTTCGGGAGGCCATGTATGCCCATGCTGTCTACAGATACCCGAAGCTAATCTTTCAGAACCACCAGGGAAACAAAGTAAGTGGCATCAACCAGTTGGGGATGGTACTGTTCCACAATGAACTTTGCCTCAGGCGCAGTGTCAATTTTGCCCCAGAATTCTGACTTTTTAAACGACAAGGTACGGTAACCGCAGTCCTTTACTTTACAAAGTTGGACTTTATAACTGCTGATGACCCTTTGTGATCATTTGTTCAAGATTTGTGTGACTTTCTTACCCCATTACCACTTGTTGAAAATTCTCAGACAGTGTTTGGAGTGAAACTTGTTTCAACACTCAGCCATAGCTCACAGCCTCTTGAGGCTCCCGATTCAGTCAGCATCTGTGGACTAAGTTGAACGTCAGTGTGTACAAGCTTATGTGAATCACTCCAGTTTATGATTAAATGAACATCATTACTTGGCTGATCAGATAATGGCAACCAGGCTAGCACTGTCATGCAATTTTACCGTGAGGTGAAATAGGTTTTTTATATTTTATCTGAAATCTCAGTCCTGTTTTGATGAGTTTTTGTTAAAAGCCTGAACACAAATATAAGCCACTATGCATTGTTTGGCCTTTACAGGTGCTGTCTGTGCACAGTAGGAAAGCTGGCTCATCTGCAAAGATTCGGATTTTAAATGGAGTGCCGACATGAAGGAAGAATCCAGAAAATGTGGGAAGTTTTTTTCTACTTGCATTTTGGGTAACTCAGTTTTCAGATTTAAGATATGTGGAATTTTGGAGTCTTCTATGAAACCTCATATTCTTTGAGGTTTCAGTGAGTATAGAGGCAGTTTAGTAGTCAAATATGATGTGAAGAGCAATGTTGGACCAATTTTACAGAGTACCATTCAGAGTTGAATGCAGAGGCTATTTTTGCAGTGTGTTTTTGGAAAAGGCTTGATGTCCCTGCAGTCCCTGATGTCCCTGGGTCAGATTGTCACCAGACTAGACACGAGACCAGTCGTGAACAGGATTTGTCGTAAGACCAGTCACAAGTAACCGAGCCACAGTGAAACAGGAGTGTCTTTGTTGCGGTTCATTTGAAAAGCTTGTGACTTGAATTCAGACAAGATCTTGTAGGGGTCTTGAGCAAAAAGGAAGATGTATGTTCATGTATTTCTCAGAAAGACAAAGATTGATTGCATGGAAAAAATTCCAAATTTTGTACCTCACCCAAAATTCCCCCCACAAAAAAAATTTGTTCTCAGATCAGCCCTTGTGGAGTGGCATGTACATTGTCAATTGTGGGAGTGGAGCGTTTTCAGAATGTAGTACAGCATTTTGACTGTGCATATATTATGTAATTATAAGGGACAAAATGGCCTTGCGGAAGATGAGGTTTTAATCCTTAGATTGTAATCATAGAGCTTGAAAGTTAGCCCCAGAAGGCGTGCTTCTGGAACCCTTGAACAGAAAAACAAATGACATGCAAAAGTTTAGCGTTTGCAATTATTTTTCGTTCATTTGCTGCTTCAAAATAAAAAATCACCTCCAGAAAATACCTTCCCACAATATTTGATTGAAGAACGTAAAGAGGAAATTGCAACATGAGCGGTTACTGGGCAGGCAGAAATCATTCTGAGACTCCTACAAATTATGAAACGCAAGAGGGCAGCTTCATGTAAAATCCGCATAGGCGGACTATGCGAGGGTTCTGAAAGTGCACTATGCGATAGTTTACTTGCAGGCTCTATTGTACGTGTACATGTATTCGGAGCTTTAAGGCATTGCAGTGAGTGAGTTGTAGTGTTCTTTTAACAGTGATATAACCAAGGGTGGAGGATTTGGCAGGCTGTTTTGAAATGGAGGTATCATATCCTAGACAGTGGGCAACAACATGTACATAGTCCCATGTATTGTAGTCTTTCATGTACATATATATATGGTGCAGCTTTGAAATCATATTGCTGTGCTTAGAAAATAAATAAAAAACTGTATAATTTATTCTGTCCATGCTTTTATTCAACTTGTCTTAATTGTAGGGTCTAAATTAATACTTGTACCATTCCATTTTTATCAGATGTATATGAAAATCTTCTACAGAACTGCTGTTTGTGCACGAGTTACTTAGATTCATATATTTTGGAAGAGGCGTGTAAAAATAAAATCAACTCGATCTCATACTGTAATAGCTTTCTGTGACAGTTTCTTTGTTACACGGGTCGGAAACAGAGAAAAACAAGAATAAATATAGAAACCCGAAACACAACAAAAACAAACTAGTAGGCTTTTCAGCTTGTAGCAGATCACGTTTTTCGTTATGAGTTTGCCGCTTAACATATTTGTAGTGCCCTTGAGTTTGATCAGCTGTCGGGTTTTCATCCATAGACGATATCTGATTAACTTTCGCACTGGACAGCCATCACTTCGGCAAGGCGATTGTGACTCAAGGATGAGCGAATGTTGTGCAAGGCCAATTGGACTTTGCTCATGCCCAAAGGACCTCTTTTACCGGCTTTATTTCCTCCGTACGTTAACCTAAGCGATCATCTATTTACAGCCGACTCCACCAGACCGAATGCTTACTCCTCGTTGCATCTTCGTCTTCAGATTTGAGTTGACTTCGTGTGATTTGAGTGTTGATGAGACTCAGGACCCACTAACGGCATTAAAAATTATCCTCCGCTCTGTAATATGCCGTACCGTGTGATTGCCATAATGTTACCCTCAAGAATAAGACAAAGATGGCAAGCAGAGCCTTCTGTATTGCTTTCACTTTGATGTTACAAGTTGGTTGTTCTGAACGCATTTCTAACTTTAATGAGCCTCAAGCTGTACCAAGCGAGGGCGCTATTTTCCGACAGAGGCTCTTTTGGTCGGAACTGAACTTCACTGGTTCATGAACAGCTAGGAAATACACGCGTCACGGTCGCATCGCTGCCAACATTCCCGACCAACGCGGCTCTTTTTAAAGCAATGAGGGGTGCTTCTGCTCGAGGCAGATAGGCAGAAGGCGTGAGAACTGGATACTGCAGTATACTGTTAAGTTACACTTACACAGTTCGTCATCTAGCCATCTTCAATTGCGACTGCCACATAAGGAATGTTGTCATTCCACTTGTCGGATGGCCGGGCTGTGAATACTCATGTCAATAGAATTCTGCCACTAGACGGGCACACCCCCAGTGATTTCACGTCCCAGGAAGGGAACTGGTATTTCCAGACCGAAAATGAAAGCCTTACTTCATCCCTTTTCCAGAGATTGTCGGGTTCTCTTGCGGGGGACAGGCTGTGTCTGCCACGATGTCTACGCAAGCTACCCGGAGGGGGACAGGAAGACCTGAGTAATGCTCCAGTTCATGTAAAAGCCCAGGCTTTCTCGAGTCTGGTTCGACCCCACCTTGAGTAGTGTGGCTTTGTATGGATTCCACATACAAAGATTGAGGCTGTCCGGCGCATGCGCAGGGCGGTGCGTACTATCATTCAAGATTATAGTAGGACCAGATCTGTTACAGCAATGTTAAAAAGCTCAAACTTCCCCTCCTACAGCAGAGAAGATGGTACAGCAGCCTAGTCATGCTGCACAAAACCATTCATCACGGTGTTGACCTGGACATAAGAGGTTTCCTTGACTTGCAAGAACCTCCATCCGCTCTCACACGAATGAACACTAGGAGCTGCAAGACAAATCAACTTGTCATTCCACAGTCTGTGTTACAATCCCATCTTCATTCATTCTTTCCCAAGATTGCAAGAGATTGGAATAAGCTGCCAAAACACATGACTTCTATGGAGAAGTTATCTAGCTTCAAAAAAACACTGCATAACCATCTACAGCTGGAATGAACAACCCCCTTGTTCCGTTCTGAGTGATGCTCATTTAGAGCTTTTCAGAGCATTCATCCAGATCCAGAAGACGTTCTGCCAGTCGACATGGAAATTGAAGACGAGGCTGGACCGTGTTTCAGAGACGAGATCAAGCGTGATGTGCGAACTTCAACAGGACCTAGTACCTGGGACGAGTACAAGGCAGGCTTTGGCAGCCCTTGATGAGTTCTGGATGCATGGCAAATGGCAACTTGCTCAACCTGACCACTGCCCAATCGCTGCCTGGCCCAGAGTGGAAGTTGTGGGTCGATTTAGGGGGTTAAGAGCGTAATACGAAATGGGTGAGTTCTCAAATTTCAAACTCTTGGGTGGGTTTTACGTGTCACGCATGAATTTTGGTACACTTCAGGTCTATCTCCTAGGTAATGTGAAAAGTTGAGCCACTCTGAAAACGTCCTTTGTGGCCTTTGGTGGCCATTTTGAAAAATGGCTGCCAAAGATATTGGCACAAGGAACCTACTATTGTAGGCCCTACTGTAATTTAAGAAAACGTCCCCTGTAGCCTTTGGCGGCCATCATTTGGGAACATGACCGTCAAATACCATATTTGGCACAAGGAACGTACCATTGTGCTTGAAGTAAGGCCAACAGGTATTCTGAATGCCGTCCAAATGATATAGAAGAGCTAGGCTCATTTTTCATTGTACAAATGCCATTTGTTGCAAAATTGACTGGAAATATGGCGGCCGTATTCAAAATTGCCACCAAAGGCCACACAAAGGTCGTTTTCAGGGTTGCTCCACTTTTCAAAACATTGCCTAAGACGTAGTCTTGATCTGTGCCAGTATTCATGCTCTTCCAACAAATCTGCCTAACTGTAAATGCCAAACTTAAATGGAGCAGCATCGTGGCACTATACCATTTGGAACGATGATAGCGTGGCATATACCCTGTCGAGCTAAAGGGTTTGCCGTGCGGAATTCAATTTGCCGAGCCGAAGTGCGCCGAACGCCGTGCTGTTGTCATGCCGAACTTTAAAGAATTGAATAATTTAGAGTTCGGCGCGGCAGTAGCACGGTGCATAACCTAGGCCTTGTTAAGCCTTTATTCTGGGATAATTTTTCAATGTTACACAGGCGTTTAAGTCATTGTCCAATGAGTACGTGCATACATTGCAGTAAATTAAATTTTATACCAATTAACTCTCCATGTGTAAAACAGTCACCACGGTTTCATGCTCCATATTCCACAAATTCACCACCCCACCGGTTTCGGTTCCACCTTACCAGTTTTTAAATCAACGTTTCTTCAAGATAGGTAATTCAGCCCAAGGTTATTGGTCATGTTATACAAGTCTTCAATCCCTCATTTTGTGATTATTTCGTCATATTATAGACAGTTGTTCTCTATAAACCTTCACTGCTTAAAGTATGCAACTTTGATGATTATCAGTCACATAAATTAGATGCAACCGAAATGTTAATAAGTCCTCTCCCATAAAGAACAGTGTCTAATTTTTACCACAATCTATATTTGGACATCAAAATTGTGGGGAAACGACAAAAAAAACAGCATAAACCTCTGTGATTTCCGGATTCGATATTCAGTATTTATTTCATTTTTCACTTCTTGACATTTGAGAAAAAAGGTCACCAATCAGAGACAGGGAAACCATTTTTAAAATGAATAGAATTATAGAATTAATTTTTATCACGGCCACGGATCATGGAAGGAATTGCTTGTACCCACTCACTGCCATCAGTCTGGCTGTATCTGCAAAATATAACGGGAAAAACAACAGGTAATCCGTCACAAAGATAATCACAGACAAATCCCCATTGCAAGTGAATATCGTTGAACCAGTTAGCATTCTGGTTGTCGCCTACATCTGGCATATTCTTCCCATAAAGGTCGTAGCCTTACAAACCGGATTTGCTTCTCCTCAAACGCTCCCCTGGGGTCAACTCCTCTTTGGCCAGAGGATAAGATGTTTTTCGTCTGTGCCACCCACAAAGTCTCCACGGCATTTTGTATTTTTATGCGATTCATGTTTACTTGTTTAGTTTTCTTTCTTTATCTAAGCCAGGATTTTGGGGGTCTCTTAAGTTCGTCCGTTTGACATCAAGAACGAACACTGAGGTCCAAATCTCTCACCTGTTCAGTTTCCAATGTACAGCATCTTGTTGGGGGAGCCAAGGCCAGGGTTAGACACAACGTTGGAGGTGGAGCTGGCCAGCATTGAGTACTTCAGGTAGGAGGGGCTCATTGAAGGGTTCATTCCGAGCATGACAGCGGCAGCACCTACGGTTTAGGGTTGAGGGATGGAATATCAGTCGGCATCAGTTATTCCAGACGACAATCTTTCACTGAAGGATTTTGGGTTCTGAGAAATTTTGGATGCGTAACCGGAATTTTTTGGCACTGACATTCCTCATCGGTTAAAGAAAAAAAAGACTAGCTTATGGTGGACTGGACAGCATTCGAAGCTCGGGACACTGGTCAAAAACGTATGTATTTATGATTGGTTTATCTACGAAGACCCGCATAACATGTCTTACCAGAGACATGAGGGCAAGCCATGGAGGTACCACTGATGGTGTTGGTGCCCCAGTTGGAGGTGTGCCAGGTAGAGGTGATGTCCACACCGGGGGCGAAGATGTCTACACAGCTGCCGTAGTTGGAGAAGGAAGCCCGGGCATCGCTGCTGTCAGTAGCACCTACGGTGATGGCCTGTGTGTAGAGAGTAAAGGAAAAGGATTCATTTCATCTGAAGTAGAAACTTGCAGGACTTTGCGATCATAATAATAGTAATAATGCCCTCCTCTTCTGATGGTGATTACTCGTACATGTATATGTCACACTATCTTCAGACCAAGGGATTCAGAAAATTTTAGTTGGTTATTAGGAGTTTATGATTTTGAAGAAGCCTGGACTTCTCACGTGGAAGGTTGAACTTTTGTGACATTTCGACTGATAAGGAACTTCATCTAGCCTATTGTTATCACAATGTAGTCCATTAGTCTTTTTGTCTATTTGAACTTTGTGATATTATTGCAAGGCCGACATAGGGTTTTCTCTTTGCGACCTTTTCTTTGAGCAAAAGAGGGAAGGCCATCAGGCTTTAATGGGTCTGTTTTGTCGTCCTTGCTGTCAGTCTGAACTGTTTGGAATGAGACAGTGGACTTACGTCAGCCACTCTGGCGGGAGAGGAGTTGCAGGCATCGACGTTCTCATTACCGGCAGCCACAGACACGGTGAAGCCCAGGTTGATCAGGTTCTGGACGGCGTTATCGGTAGCGGTTGAGGCACCACCCCCGAGAGACATGGAGACGACGGCGGGCAGCTGACCGTTCAGACCGACCTGGTCAATACCTATGGGTTTTGGAACGCAAGAAAATTGGCGAGAGAGAATAAACTTTGTGGTTTCGATCATGAATAGCCAGGAAAAGGGGTATTTAAATAATTCAAAGACAGCTTCGGTGCAGCTTGTGTGACGTGTGTCAATGAAATAAATATAAATTTGTGGGCCATATATCGTCTTACTCTTCACAGGTCATTGTTGGTCACTTTTCATAAAAGATCTCATTTCTTTTCTCGTTGTTTAATTAACCTACCGTCAACAACACCACTGTTGGAGCCAAATCCCAGACAGCTGAGCACACGGACACCGTACAGGCTGGCGCTGGTGGCCACACCGTAGCTCCTGCTGCCCACGGTACCGGCACAGTGGGTGCCGTGCCCGTTACAGTCGGTCCCCGATCCACCGATAGCGTCGTACCAGGCGGAGGCGCGTCCGCCGAACTCCCAGTGAGACGGGTTGACCCCAGTATCCACAACGTACACGTTCACGCCAGCGCCGGTACCTTGGGAAACACGGAGACAGAGATATGGGCTTTGCTGCTTATTTCTGACCTTATGTACAAGTATACAAAAAACAACATAACCGGTAGCGTAAATTTGTGCTGGGAACTGAGAGATGGGGGATTGTGGAGGGGATCACCTACTCGGCCATAAAAGTGTGAAACAGTGGGGGGGGGGTGGATACAGACACCACATGACACTACATTCATGATACAGATGTACACACTGTAGCCTACCTTACATCAAAACGGCGTACTTGTTGATATCAAAATTTGTTCTCCTTTTTGACTACTATAGTTGTCTACTGCTGGACACATTTTGGTTTTGGGGAAGTCTAAATAATTCTTCATAATCCGCCTCATTTTTTTCCCACCACAAAAGTGTGTGTGGGGGGAGGTTGATTCAAAGCCCATCCCCCCCCCCGTCAAAAAAGTCGGGGATCGGATATACCTCCATCCCCGGGATTTATGCGCACGACAATTGAAGCCATTGATTTGATATCTGTATTTTCACTAGTTTCAAACCACCCAAATACATTTCAAGTCATCCTCGGCCAAAGTTACACGTGCCGGCACATATACTATACGCCGTCAAGATTTTCACGATTTATTGCTTCATTTTCGTCACCGTCACTGAAGAGTTAACTAACGTTTGTTCTACTGAGAAACGATGGATTGTTTTGTCAATACGAGCACCAGTTTTCAAGTGCGCAAACATGAAAAAAAAAATACATCAATTATTTTTTAATGTACATGCAATTGAAAAAAAGATGGTTCTTTACCAGCGGGTCTGAAGGAGCCATCCAACGGGAGGTAGCGCTGATCTACACGGTCAAGACCCCAGGTGACTGCCTGTGTCTTAACAACACCATCCTCTTCCACGTACTCGATGCCATCGAAGCTACGGATCTGCGACAGTTAAGCCACATTCATTTGTGATTACCAGTACTATGCCATGGTGAATGAAAGGATAGAGGCCACCTTAAAAGAATATCACCGAGACCCCTAGGTGTGCTTGAGTGCTGCTATTAAAAATAAAGGAGACCATTTGTACAGCCAATCCTCATCTTCCTAGCAGTCAGCAAGGTCAACACAGTGCACTCTTATTTTGCAGTTACTGCCCACCTCACATTTTATGTGTCTACTGTCCAGGGATAACTTTCAGAAAAGGTTTGCGTGGTAAGTATATTGTCGTCTTCAAGCCAGGTGAATGCGAATAAAAGTTAACCCCCCCCCCAAAAAAAAACCCACACACAGCCGTGGTCGTTCATTTAGCATCGTACGATGAAAGTGACAACTTACAGAATCGATGAAACTGTCGGGGATGTTAGCCACGAAGCCGTTTATGACCTTGCGGAATTTCGCCAAGACAGCGACTGGGATGTTCAGGCCCCTGGTGCGGGTCTCCAAGCGGTCAACAAACTCGTCCAAGTTGGAGCCCTCCTGGTGGGGGAAAACGGCATTGATTCACACAGGATTATAATAGTCACCTGAAATCTCATTTCATATCCACTACAGTAAGCATCTCATTTTAAGCATTGATTATTTAGTAATTAAGTATTTATTAGTGCTGTTCAGTTAGTACTCTTTACGTCATTGGCCCACATGCTGAAGGTTAATTAAAACAGGGTTTGCAGAACTTTTATGTATCCTTTATAAATAATTATTTGATTGTATTCCGTTTGCATGCGGTACATACAGTCAACCCGATCTTCCATCTTTCCGTTTTGCCAGTGTGTAACTGCTGAATTTTCTATTGTCCCGTTTCAAATGAGCCATGCAAAGATTTTTTTTATATTCACTTCTTATGCCTCTTTATACTCTTCTTCAATTGATGAAAACAGTTTGACATCCTTTCGCAGATAAGCGTATTGAAAAGTGTCATTTTTTACACATAAAACTTGGCCAAGCTTTTCCACAGGAGTGAGGGCGCTGTTGCGGTGCTGTAAATCAGAGAAGCCACTGTTCAGCTCTCGTTTTCATGTTCACATATTAACCCCATATTTGCTCTTTGAAAACATTTCTGGGAAAGGGTTGCTCGCTGCCTTGTTGCTGCATAGTTACACAACAAACTGCCAAAGAAATACATCAAAATATGTTTTGTTTTTAAACCCAGCGGTTGTTTGTGTGCACAAATCAATGCAACATTGAGGTTTAGTGCCTTGAATGGTGTCAGAGTTTGCTAATGAATATATTCAAACTTTCAGTGGCATAAAAAACAATAAGGTTCCAAAATATCAAATTAAAATGGCGAAATAGACATAGAAAATAGGGTTTAAAAACTCATATAGGCCCTAGGTGTAATTTCAAGGGTATGTTTCCTTTGATAGCAACAAAGCATTCATATTCTTATCTCAGCCTGACACAGATCTATTTGTGCAGTGTGACACCCATTTCCTTACCTTGATCTTGATGATGTATCTGTTGGGGATGTGCTGAGACACCTTCCTGAGGGGGGCCAGGCCAGCGTTGGCCGCAGCGAGGCAGAGGCAGAGGACGACAAAAGTCTTCATGGTGCGTTCGGTTCTGCGTTTAAACAGAATCTTTTTTTTTACACGTGAATACCGCATGGAGGCGTACAGCGCACCACCCAGGAAAACAAAATAACGCCCACATCAGATCTATCTTACGGATAGATACTTCCATTTTTAAAAACAGCAACAATAACTTCAAATAAAAATAGCACGAAAACGTAAGAGATCAGATCATTTCTGCATCACACATTATGTTCAAATATCACAATTCTCACCTGTCCGAAATTTGTACACAACTTGATAAAATTCAACCACAGCAAGGTAATCGTGCGGTCGGAATCCGCAACTCCAGCGCTTTGAACATGTAGTAGGTTAAAAGTAGTTTAGAGCGAGTCATAGCGGTTTCTTGGTCTTACACCCCTTGGCCTTCAATTGCCTAGCCTATGATAAACCAATGGGACATTCAACCCCAATGGCCCGTATGAACATACTAGACATTTTTTTTCTGTTCACCTGTAAAATAGCGAGTATTTGCCTGGTATCATGCCGTAAAAATTACTTCCCATTGAAGCTTAAGGAGAGTAAGAACGAGTTCAATTCATTTCCCTGCAAAAGATACGGCAACTTCCCACTTTGCCCGAGTCATGCATATATATCTGTCTTAGTCTGTGAGTGGTTGTGAGGTACTCGAACATCTTTTCTCTTCATTGTTGGGAATAAAAGCAATGATAGAAAGACACCGGCTGAGTATAAGGCCGTGTCCAAAAACGGGCTTGCAGAGCTACGGCTAGGTCTAATGTCTACGCATCTCTGCACATTTCCAATGGAGGGAAGACCTAGACCTAGCTCTAGATAACAGATTCGGATGCAGCCTAAGGAGGGAACGTGAAGTGTTTCAAGACATCATACTTTGTGCCCCAGCTAAAGACACTCCCCAACCCCGTCACTTACCTGGTCGGTCAGGCTTGGAACTGCTAATTGATCTCCCTGCTCCCTTCCACTGGCTTTTATAGCCGTTTGGTCTAAACCTGCGGAAGTATATTTTTGTCACTGTAATCTAAAATTCCGGCTTAGCTTGCGTAATGGAGGTCACCAAATCCACTTCCAAAAATCCTGAACCATGTGCCGAAGTTCCCAGCCTTTGCTCAGTTGTAAGTAATTGTGGCACGATATATTTGGATGTTGAGGCAAGCGCGGTTTTTAAATTTAGAGCTAGAGGGGTGGCATTGAGAACACTCCCCATTCTATTACGCATCTGTGAACCTTGTTTCGAATTTCCTCTGTTATAGAGGACGACATTTCTCGAATTTTGGCATGATGAAATACACTTTCTGTATTATTTCATGTTATGAATATCATTTCCCTGAAAACGATCCCCCTTCCAACGCAAATGTTTAAGTGTAAAGGCATGCAATCAATGATCAGAGTGTAGATTAAATGCAGTCATAGAGGGTCTTTTCAAACATATAGCAGCATGAAGCCGACCGGGGTGGGATAACTGGAGGGAAGGCGATTGGAGATTTCATTTCCTTTCCATCTCAAAAGTGTGTGAAAAACCCCCAAATCCCTCTGAAAGGTGTACAGCCTTTGAAGAGTACAAAAGAAATTTCCACCCCGAAAAATAAATTCTGGTTCTATACTGAGTTGAACATGAAATTTGAAAGACTGAAGATGGTTAAACTTATACCATCAACGCAACCACTGTCACGCGCATGCACATCTTGTATTGACGTTGCATACCTGCAGGTGTAGAGAATGCCTTTATTTTTGTGCAGATTAGAGAAATCTTGATGAAAATTCCCGTTTTTATCGCACTCCTAAACACTGTTTTAAGTTGGTTTTCCGTTGAAAGCCTTCTTGACATAGTTTCTCTTTCTTCAGGTTGGTATGCCTCTGAAATTGTTTTGGACAAGGCTAGGGCGAAACATTCCATGCGCCTAGGCAAGCCCACGTAACCTGGGAGGGAATAAGTGTTTCATTGGCTATTGGGCCCTAAGGCAATGAGGTGCCAGTGTTCCGTAGGTCCTATACTCTGCTCCAATCACACCGTCACCAGTTTCGGGGTAGAGTATCGCACATCATGTTGATGGGACGCACCGAACGATAGCTAACTGAAGATTACGATTTCAGAGAAAGACCAATAACTTTGGAAAAAGTTTAGTCCGCATAGTATGAGTCTTTTTAATGGCACACTGCATTACTTAGTCCCTCACAGTTTTCTTCAATACCCCCCCCCCATTTCTGTTAGGCCCTGGGCACAGTGCCGACTGCGCCTATCGGATAATCCGGGCTTCACTCCCTTCGTTTTTGGGACATCTGAGTGTAACTTGACAACCAGAATAGAACAATTCACTTGTAGTAAATTCTCATTCATGTGAGCATGCGCATAAATGGCAAGTAGAGGCAACAAGCTTGAACGGCCCATTGAAAATGCACTCGAGGAACTGTAAAAATGTGAACGTCGTTTTCTCTTAGCTTTTGCACTTTTTCGCTTTATAGATACTACTTAAGTTTTTTAGTCTAATAGGATTTACTTTGCAGTAGTTGAAAAAAAATCAGATTTTGCTTCCTTCCCGAGCGCACGAGGTCAACAGAAATTAGCAGGGCTCCTTTCCGACCATGCCCAATTAAACAGTTTTTGTGTCTCAGGGTACTATGCACCACTCTCTTATGCAGCACATAATTATACATGTAGGCGTACGTACCGTGAATCAGACTTGCAAAGACTTTAAAAACCGGCACATCGCCAACGGAGAATGGTGGATGGTACTTTAACGTATATCGCACGTATAACGTATATTGTTGTATAGCCGAGCAGAACCCTACTGGTTTCTTTCGACTTCGAGCGAATGAATTTGTTTCAGTTTTTATTTTGTTCTCCTAACATTCCTCTCACACCAGAAAGTAACTGTAATGAGGCTTTTGTTGGTTTTCGAAGACAAAAGTGAAAAAAGTGCAATTTGTGTCCCTAAACATTTGCAATGGGCCGCTCAAGATACTTCCATTTGCCATTTGTGCGCATGCTCACAAAATAGAAATTATTAGTGAAAATAGTTCTGATTCACTCTTTTCTTCAACCGCGATGATAACAAAGGACGTTCCGATCCCAAGGCCCCCTACTTCCATGCCCTTTCCACTAATGCCCTTTACAATTATAAAGTCATTTCATTAGCATTCGCTGTCTTACTAATGGCAGGATTTTGAAAATTCACAGAATTTTTAGAATGTTTCTCCCCCCAGAAGAAACCGTGCTGTTTTGTCCGGACTCATTAATATCACACTCACTGACCCGTGTTGCAAGATACAGCAGAATGACAGATTAAAAATATACATTATAATCGTCAGTATTTACGACACAATAAGCAGATAAAGCGGCTGAGAGATAACCTAATCCGCTGATAAATAGAATGATTAATATAATATAATTAACAAAATAAAGAGCTTAACTTTTCCTTCATAAGAGCCATTCGCGGGCGTGCATTCTGAGAGAAAATACTTACTCCGGATTGTTTGAATCAGTCAAATTTGGTTTATTGGGTTTGGTTTATTGGACATGAAAACAGTCCACAGACACCAAAACCTGTACAATTTGAGACAAGGATGAATTATATTCTGGTCCCACAAGAGATCTGCAATTGTTAACGGTCAAACTCGTCTATTGCCCTCTTTTTCAGACAACACTCCTATAACCACACTTCTTTCAGTTATGCGGGAGCTTTTTGGCTCTTTGTCAGTTGAAATTCGAACAAGAATCGAGCATACCCATGACGCAGAACATGTTTTCACATTTATTTCGATGCAGTATTTGATATGCAAACACAAGAATGTTATACATTGTAAGATTGCCAATACACATGTAATTAAGGTTATCCGTACATAGTTGGGACCATTAAGATTGGCAACATAAGGTGAAGCTAAAGATTCAGCTGGTGTTACACCAGTTATGATGATGCCTTAAATAAAATTGTCAAGATTCCCATCCTCCAATCTCGTAGGATTTCATTATGTCATATATTTGGTAGCTTACCCTATCACTCCAATCAATTCCGTCAGCGGCTGCCAGCAACCAACACAATCTTGATCTTAGGAATTCAAATAAACTTACTATCCGTAAAAGGGTCACAAAACGGTATCTCAACAGTCCAATTCCGTTTTATGTTCAATTGTTAAATGATCAATTATTTAATTAATTTAATTCTATTTTTAAATTTTAATTTTTATCCTCTCTTCTTGTCAATTTTGGGTCTCTTTGAATTGTATGTTTTTTTTAAATTGACATGTTTTAATGTTTCATGCTACGTGTTTGATTCTTCCTTATAACTAATCACTCAGTTCAACTATTTAGTTGCAATGTAATTTTTAATAAACCTTTAATAATGATATAATATATATATAATATAGTCCCTAGCCTGTATACAGAATAAACCAAAGAAAAACGTACTGTAGTGGACAGGAAGCATAATAAACCCTCCCAGATTTAATTCATTAAAAGTTAGAATTTAGAAGATGAGTTTTTATTTTTCTAGTGAAACAGAGAGAGGGTGATGATTTCAAAGGATCATCCGGAACGATTCCATGGGGTGCCACGATGGTTTGGTATTTTTTAACTCTTTGCGGTTGTGCCATAACAAAAATGTTAGCGGTACTGTGACTAACATAGGTGTGGAGGATGATCAATACCGTACGCAGAAATTGTCAGGGTGTGTTGATTTTTCTTGGGGGGATGCTCGGACGGGAATACCCCCCCAGCTCATGAAGCTCAAGCCCCCCCCCCATGTTGCGTCCACAACACGGAACTTGAATGTACTGCTACATCGGAGCTGGCAGTTTAAGAGTAATGTTGAGACAAACAGGTAATGCATGAATCACTCAAAAACACCCGAGACAGTTCAGACATTCCTATTGGTGGAGAGAACGTCACGTGGCTGGTCGTAAACGATAAAGCGCCGGCCGGTTGGCTGGCTGGCTGTGCGCCACCCCTACGCACTACCACATGTAATAATCTCCAACAGGTTTGCTTCTCGCTTGGGGCCAGAGGGATGTTCGAATCTATGGTTGGAAAATTACAATTTTAAAGACTTGTTTTGATTTTCTGACTCCTAAGTCATTTGTGGATGGGAATAAATTCACATTGTGTTGTATTGGCCATCATCAGCGTCCTTTCTAAGCACATATTTATTTCCTTATTGTATTCATTTATTTCTTATTTTCCTATAAAATGAGCTGGTGCAGATCAGTAAATTTCAACAGTTTCAGCCAGCCAAATAAAGGAGAGGAATGTTCACAATATTCTCTATTTGTATTAGAAATTAAACAAACAGCTCTCGTCTGCAAACAATATCTTGCATTAAGAAGTCGACTAACCTCATGTGAGAATTGAGTAATATAATATGTGGTAAAACCAAAGAGTTATGTTAGACATATGACGACACTGAAAAATAATAAGTTATTTCAGACGGTTCAGTTTACCAATAAATTTTGATATATTAGATGTTATATCTATCTTACCATACTAACTTCTCGTCACATTCCAAAGATCTTTGTAATTTTTAACTGCTTCAGATCTTCACTTTTGAAATTAAAGGAACAGATTTGGTACACTTCTGCTGATTTGCACTAAATGTTACAGTTTAATTTGAGCAAGCCTTCCGCTCTTTTACGTGTGCTCACGGACAGCGAATGCAAACTTGGGACAGTGAAGAAAAAGTAAGTATAAATGCCAAAATGATTTCAATGGAAATACTATGATACAAAAAATAACAAATCTACTGTGTTTTTTTACTTATGTCTTCATAGGCTAATTAATATGTTTTCCCCGTAAATTTATTAACATATTAACACATGACGTCATATAATATAGAATCCTTCCTAGGAGCCGTTATTTTTCTGATGAGTTTGTTTGAGTTGAGTATTTCTCACTTATTTTGGAGTCTATGTTTTGGACACAGGTGCATGTTGGCAGACTGTAATGAGGACGTGAATGCCTGTTGTAATTAGCCGTGCTGTTACATGTATTTCGCTAAGGATATTTTCTCCCGTGCGTCCGGCCTTCTGTATCAAAACCGATTACATTCAGGGAAGTACGGAAGGACAGAAGGGGCAAACAAAATTTTAAAAAATCAAAGTGCTATATCACCGTGCCAAATTATTATCGTCAGGGCCGGGCGAGTTATTTTTGCTCTAACTGAAGCTCGCCGTGGAGAATGTCTCAACAGTATCAGGAGTCCGACATAGCCTGCCACTGTTCTTCAACCTATCGTTAGAGAGAGATGCCTTGACCGAGAGGGGTCTTTGAATCACTTTTGAACTCAATTTCCAATAAAAGGAAATCGTCACGAAGTTGTGAGATCCAGGAGCGTGATATCCCCACCCCTGGGGTGGACTAGCTGACTACCTGGTCATTCCCTCACACTTATTCGTGGTGAAAACCAGGTATACATTTGGAATTTGAGTTATGTTTGAATTCTCCAAAGGCTAAAATATAGCGAATAATATTGATTAATACCTACAACTATTTGCAAGTTGGTCGAGAGCCCAATCCGCCACGAGTTGAAGGGCACCTTCATCAGCAAAGAAGAGACAGGCTGGTAGGAAGCTTGTCAACCGGGCTTGTGCCGGTTCATACTTTGCGCGAACACAAACGCGAATTTGTGAGGGCAGATCAACTATTTGCGGTGCAAATTCGCAAGAGTTGAACATATTTCAACATTAGCGAAATTTCGCAGCGAATCTTTTTGCGACGACAAATTCGCTTCATTTTCGCATTTACCTATAGTATTAACCGGGGCCTTTCACTGAATTTGGTCGCTGGTACTCAGTGCGTCCCACACGCACACTACCAACGGACCATTTTCGGTATACAAAAAACGCCCTCTCTTGTATTCGCTCAAAGAGATAGTTTGATGAAAGACCAACCAACAGCAGAAAGGGCCCCTGAACAATTGCATGTAGTACTTACATGCATATGCATTTCTACGTCTATGCCAGATTCAGTGCTCGGGATGATACCACAATTTGGACTCCCAATCTATTTTTGGTGTGAAATCACTGTTTTGAATATAATGCGTTTATTTTAATCAAAAAGCTAAAAATTAAACCAAAATTGGGATTTAAATCCCAGTGAAATTAAGAGTATGAGAAACTTTATCTTAAAAATCCATTTTTAAATGAATTGTTATTTAAAACGACTGCAAAGATTCATCGGCTAAATGTATTTTCTTGTAAAAGTTTTAATGTGCTCATGAAGAAAAATAAACGCACTGCCCCATATTGAACTCTGCGTTTAGGCGTTACGTATTCTCTTTCCCGTTTCCCCTTGTTCAATATTTTCTGGCTAATTCGCTGCAGCAAAGCAGTAACGGCAAGATACCGTAACAATAAAATAAACACACTTCATCGAAATAGTAGCTCGTCGCCCAAGCATGGGCCTTATTTACAAGTCAGCCATACTGACTTAACAGTGGGGCTAACTTGTTATATTTGGAACTTGGGAATAAAGGGAAAAGCAATTTTATAAATTTTCATTTACGAAATATTGTCATTTCGTCTCTATTTTCACGAAAAGCAACATATGTAAATATTGAAGAAAACCTGCTTTTCGAGAAATCGCCCGAGCCAGAAGCTTCTCCTATTTCAAAACTGCAAAAATACCAATATAAAACAAGTTTATGTGGTAAAGACCCCTCAAATGATTCTTTGAGAGGTAAACTTTTGCCCGAACCAAGCAATTACAATGAATTTCCAGTGGATAATTAGCCGAAATCAATTAGTAAAGATGTGCGTCCATTCGTGAGATCGAAAATCCAGGTTTTTCCCTTTTTCCGGAATGTCCAAGGTATTTTTCCACAGGGAAGTCGCACTCGTGTTTATGCGTGCGCCGCTCTGAATGTGACAAAGAGGCGTGGCTCTTAGTGAAAACGAAAAACTTACTTGACCTACTTTTCTGCCTTTCCATTCAATACGTTGTGTACGTGTACGACGCTATGAACATCTAACAAAAGAAGTACCGTGCAATAACAATGGACGCTTATTGTTAGTGCACTGTGTTTCTTTTGTTAGATGCTTGTAGTGCGGGGGGCAGTGATATTTGTGTCACTTCGTGAACACGCAAAATGCACTTATCAAGATTTTAGCCCTCAACAACATAAATACAATCAAAATTGAAAATGAGGTACTATTTTGGAAATATATGTGGCTCGATTGTCGTGAAAATGGTGACGATTTAATCCCGTTAATTTGTTTTTAAGCCACATTAAAATAGAAAGTGAGGTTTGAAACCCGAAATAGTCTAGTATCACCCCCATTTAACAGATTACACTGACTAAGATATATATAGATCCTTGGAACACGGTAAAAATGGCTTCCCTTTCAAGAAGGTCTACTGTTTGTGCTTGTGGCTTTATACGCTACTGTAGAAGCGCATGCGATTTTAGTTGCGTCTTTTTTAGGCTTAAAAATTGTAAATTAAAATTAGGTCTTCATTTCTTCTCCATTTTTCGGTACATACATAACACGAGGTCTTTATTTAATGAACAAAATAAACAAAAAAAGTCAAAAGTAAGTAGCTGTGGTTACTTCCAACCAACGTCAATGTTTCTACTCGAAGTACCAAACATTGTTCACCTGGTCCGGCAAAGCTTTCATAATGAGCTATTCAATGCAATAAAAGCGAAACATCTCTAATCATTCTATTGCAGGTCCTCTGCTCAAGATTCGCCCTTCAGGCTTCTCATCTCTGCGCATTCTTGTATGCACAATAGCCACATTGTCGTCAATTAGTCGAGCTGTGGTTGGAACTGACAGCTCGGGAGAAACACTCACGGTGGATAAAAAAAAATCGAAGATGATTCCTTTCAGTTTCTTAGACTGTCCTTTAGATAAAGTAAATTTTAACAAAACAATCGAAGTTTTTCTTTTCTTTACAGTCATCCAGTAAAACTACAGACAACACTAACCTTGCTTTTTTTTCCTGTCATGCGTGGTTACATGAAATCCTTTGCACTACCTTCCATATTTGCTATCAGCATTGAAATTATTTTGAAAGCAAAAGAACTTTTTTGATAAAAAAGCGATGGGCAGATGTTGAAGATTGAATTACCTCCAGTCAGTGCGTGTCTCGGCTGCAGCTAATGTCGATTCAAGAACCTCGCTGCCGAGGTCAAAAAAAGAATCAATTCGTTTTCTCTCTTTTAATTCTCAACAGTTTATGCATGAATGCAATGCAAGGACCCCCACTGCGACCTCATGGTGGGGGGGGGACTCATTATGCGTGGTGTCCGGCGAGCAGGTGACTTATAATGTCATTTGCCGGGATGCAGCATACTCGTGACTGCCCTGCACTCGAGGCAAAGAAAGTGTAGCGTCTTCTGTAAAACAACGTCGTGTGCGTCGAGCCTCGTAAACTGTCGGAAAGGTGCGTGGATGACGCGTTATTTGCTCAGCTGAAGTCAAAAGAAGAAGGTGTACAGCAACTTACACTCCACGTCTGAGATTGCGCGGTACGGACCAGGAGCGAAGCAAAACATGAAGTCCAGCAGCACCGTCAACGGGCTCGACCGGTCACCCCCTCCCTGGTTCGATACAGTCCGGGTTTCCATGCTGTCCATCACCCTTTTCCTCATCCTCGCTGGTAACATCTTCTGCTTCTTCGTCATCCGGAGTTCCCCACAGTTGCGCAAGGTGAGCCGCATATTCATCGTGTCGCTGGTTATGGCGGACCTGTGCGCTGGAGCATTCCCCGGTAGCTCCCTCCTTACCACGGCGGCCGCCGGACACCTGGTCCCCGCCGGCGTCGCGGAAGGGCTCTGTAAGGCCTATTTCATGGGCGGGATTTTATTCAACGGAGGGTCCTTCATCTCTCTCTTTTGTCTGATTTGTGACTGCTACATTGCCATCGAGAAGCCCCTTCGATATCCGTCCTTGTTGACGGCGAGACGGGCGTATAACATCATCTGGTCCTGCTGGCTGTTGATGATCACTGTTACCGTGGCGTATGGTGTGTATTTTGGAACTCTACCGCACCACCAGCCAGACTGGCGATGGTGCCTTGTAAGAGTCAGTTCTCTTAAAAAAGACCCTTATATCTTGGTACTGCTAGTCCACACCAGTGTGACCGTGGTATTACCCTTAACAGTGACGTTTGCCTTGTGCGTAAGGATCCGGCTGATTGTTCACAAGCATGAGATACGCCTAGCCCGCTTCACTCCACCCGGTCACCCTTGTCGCCACCGTTCCAGCGATACCACGTCGCTGACAACTTTCCTGATGGTGAACTGTGGGGCTGCGTTAACTTCTCTACCCCTGAGCGTGCTCCTGGCCTATTCTTACTGGACGGGTGATTTCTCTATGTATGGCATCAGTACAGCCATGATAGTCCGGTCTTGTAGCAACCTACTGAATGTGCTTGCCCACACCAGACGGAACGGGGAGTTCCGAGCAGCCGCTGCACGCATTCTGAGGCTACGCCAGGGCAGAAACTCTCACAGGAATCCAGCTGCATCACGGGTAACCAACACACAGCTGACTTGCTTGGCTCCTTCAACAGGTGGCGGGGTTATAACGCACAAACGTTGACTACTCACTGTAAAGTTATGCCAACACTTTTTAAACCTCAGCCCAAGAGTATGTAGTTTTCACATCTCTAGCTCTGTCATATTCACGTTTTTCACATGCGTGAGTCCCCAGTGTCAGACTTGGTGACACGGTTGACTGATTTTGGTTTGACCAATTTTCCTCGACATAAGTTGCTCCTTACAGGGAGGCACTGAGAAATTTGGCGCAAAGCAGACGCCCTGAACGCCCTCATTCTGATCGTGTAGACAACGACATTGATAAAACAGCTGCTGTACAACGACAACCTGGAAAACTCGACGAAGAAAGAGTCAATTTGATGGGGGGAAAATTTCATGTATATCACACAAACCGCAAATGGTAGACTGGATGCGGAATAGGATATCGTGATGATGAGGACCGTGATCAGTGCTTTTTTATTGACCAGAAAACATTTACAGAGTCCGCGGCACACTCCGCTGCATATCCCGTGGTGCGACTTTTTGGCACCGCTGGTGGATGGCCAGTCGGAATCACGCGACGAGAGAGTCAGTTGCTTTTGATACTCGGTGTGACGTTTCACGATGAAAAGGATGCGTATCGAAGCGACAAGACTGACGCAAGTAGGTGCGAGGAGATACAAGATCACGAAAAACAGAAAAGCGAAAACGGATAATTGTGGAAGTGTGGTGATGGCACACCTCCACGAGAATTCGTTGAATGCTGTTATCCCTTTCTCGGCCGCCGCCGACATCACGACGAAGCTGGCCGCCGGGACGGCGCTCAGGAGCCAGGAGCAAGCAACTATTATGCACGCCCGGCGAGCCGTCATAATGGACCGGAACCGGAGCGGGATCTCCACGGCCAGGTACCTCTCGATGGTGAGAACAAGCACCCCAAGGACCGAGGCACTACTGGCGAAGATCTCCAAAAAGTATGAGGCATTGCACAGACGGTCAGAAACGGTCCAGGGGCTGACGCTTGAGAGCCCGATGATCTGCGGCACGACCTTCAACGGAATCACAACAACGCCAACAAAGATGTCGGCAACTGTCAGTGAGATGAGAAAGATGCGAGTGCTTCTCTTTAGAGTCCTGTCCTTCGCGATAACAAAGAGGAGGAAACAATTTCCAAAGACAATGAGGACCAATAGAGCAGTGTAAAGGACGATATAAATGACCTGCCTCCCTGTGGAGGCTTCGACATCCTCATAAGTAACATTTCCAGATTCAACCATGTCACTTTCTGAACCCATCGTTAAGGCGCTCGGAGAAGACTCAGTGAACAATTTAGACTCAAACGAATAGCAGCAATTTCGCCTGATGAGTTTCAACAATAGCCTACCATTCCCCGAATGTTAGCGTTCTGTAAACATTTTTACATAACTGCTTGCAACTGCACTGCTTCCAAATTATGTCTGACGCTAATGGGTTGCAACAGTCAAGCGATCTCCCCAAAGATGCGTAGGCTCACATGACAAAAGTGATGACGCTCCCAATTCCAATCTATGCGTCACTAATTAGTTGCCCCATTAAATAAATGCAACAAATCCTTCACATGTCAGTTTCGGTAAACACACTTCGCTGCCGAGGCACTACTCCAATTCAAAGTACACATGTAACGGTTTTTGACAGTCATGCTAACCTAATGCACAGCCTTAATGAAAAAAACCCCAAAAACAAAAAGAAAAGCGAGAACTGACCGCATCTAGCCTGTAATTATACTTGTGGAGGATTAATGGACACGCTAATAAGATCTGTACCATCGCTATCCCATGCATTATCGTGGTTAATATTGCTGGTGAGCTACACGTCTCAGGTTGAGACGTATGCAAACACAAAGTCTGCTGTGCATCATAAAATCAAGGATCCGCACAGGAAGATGCGGGGTATTGGCAAAGTTTGCTCTACTGCCATTCAAGGCACACGTGATGTACTACCTTTTCCATCAGAATAGAAAATCTCAACAGTTTAACTAATTATCTTTAAAATGCATGGGACAAGGACTGAGTTGTTCTAGAAGCAAACTTTAAATTCAGTTGTGGACATAAACACACAAAAATTCAACCCCTTCGTCTCAAAAACACAAAAAGTGAGCATTTTTCACCGTCCAGTCCACAACGTAGTCCGAACCAACAGACTTTATTTTTGCGGAAGCGAATTTTGATCACATTCCACGAATCTACCTTATTCAATGTAATCTGTTAAATTGAGTGGTGGCAGACTATTTGGAATTCCATGCCTTACCTGGATAGTAGATATACCACGAACCGTCGTTCTGTGTGTACAAAGTCTATGGGTGGGATGTCACTTTTTGGTGCACCAATCGTTTACATCACTTCGTCGTGCAACCAACGAACTGATCACAAATTTTAAATTCTTAATCGGCCTAAATGCCGTTAATTTTGGATGAAGGTTATTCTAGTGCTTTCATTTTTATTCTCAGGTGCTAAATAAATAAACTAGCCAAGCCTTCAATTCAATATGACCGACTTGAAATAAGGCAAATCCACCGTTTTCGCTGGGTACCAAATTTCAGTCGTATTCCTCAACGTATTGTATGCATTTAAAACCCTCGATGTGATCATGGTACCAAGCAATTTTTTTTTCTTCCTATACGAATGAACCGATGGAAAATGTATTTATCAGCTATAGTTAAACTTTAATGCTGGATATTTTTTAGTGAGTTCTGAGTTGGGATTGAGCGCAGATTTTTGGTTTCCTAGTTTGTTTTTTTAAAAAAATGATTGTCCATACTTAATCCACATAGGGATCCTCACTGTCCCCCGACAAGAAAGACGATAACACCGTTTCTGTATAGTGTTAATGCTGTCAATTTTTCTAATAGAAACGGTGTCCGTAGGGGCAACCTGGTCCGTGCCTTCTGCCTTACCGATACGCCACTGAATTGGGGATGCGGTTCCAAATGCTTTTTTGTCACGAGAAGATCCCATACCTCATGTGTCATGACATCTTGATTTATTGCTCCATTCAAAGGGCTCCTTGCAATTTGGTTTTTGTTAACAATTAAGCGCTGTGTTCAGCTATAAATTTTAAAAGCCATTCGCATATTAACAGTAGATAAGAGAAATATAACAAATGACTTTCACTCTCAGATTGAAAGGGGTGACATGTGCTCTATGGTTTCAAATGCTTTTTTGCCACGAGAAGATCCCATACCTCATGCAGATGATGCCCCCAAAAAGAATGGAATGATTTGATATTGACACATAACCAGAGTTGTGACGAGTCACTAATTTATGTGACTTGAGTCGAGTCTTCGTAATGTAGTTACTCGAGTCGAGTCAATTCATTAGACAAAAATGTCGAGTCGAGTCAAGTATTTAGCTTGAGTCAATTCGAGTCAACAATATTTGAACACAGTACGATATATAAAAGCAAGAAGGACATTTTTTGACATTTTTAAGTTTACCCTTGGGTTTCTACATATGGTCACACCACACCTGAACCTTGATGATAAGAACACGTGATTTTTTTCCGAAAAGAAATTTGCGTTTGTTTGTTTTTTTGTTTTTGTTAGTTTTGTTTTTTTGGACTCGAATCTTATTAACTTTCAGTCGAGTTGGGTCTTCTTATAAGGGACTGGAGTTGAGTTGAGTCATTTACTCTCAGCGACGTGAGTCGAGTTGTTTACCCGTCGGGACTTGAGTCGAGCCACCAAATATTGTGAAAAACTAGAAACTTCCACAGAGCATTCACATGGCCAAGAGGCGCAATTCATAATGCTGTTTCTTTTTTCCAGTAAATATTGTTGGTACACATAAGCGAAATTGACATTGAGTTTTAACCCCAGTCTCTCTCTCTTTTTCTTTCTTTCTTTTCTTCCACCCTTCCCCCTTCTTCAGAGGAGGACCGATGACCACTGCCGTTCTTGGTTTTAACTAATTTGAAATGAGAATGCAGAAAAGTAATGGCTATAGAGAGGAACGCTTGAAAAATTATAAGAACTATGCATTGTCACGATTGTATGTCTCCCCACCCACCCCACCCCCCCCAAAAAAAAACAAACAAAGCAACAACCCTACGATAAGATTTGGGGGGAATCCAATCCAATTACAATTTTGATTATTTTTGGAGTCTCCTTGTCCAGAAATGTTTTCAAAATGTCAGATATCACATCTATTGGCAAATCTTGCGCGCTGCTCTCTGCACCAGACACATACAACGCTGCCATGGAGGATTTCTCTGCCTTTTCAATGGGCGTTCTTCTGTCACAACTCCATCGCACTCCTCAGAAAACGACGCGGAAATATCATTAACAGACAATAGCATTGTTGATGTCTGTTCATGACCATGTACTGTTTTGTGTCATGACATCTTGATTTATTACTCCATTCAAAGGGCTCCTTGCAATTTGGTTTTTGTTAACAATCAAGCGCTGTGTTCAGCTATAAATTTTAAAAGCCATTCGCATATTAACAGTAGATAAGAGAAATATAACAAACGACTTTCACTCTCAGATTGAAAGGGGTGACATGTGCTCTATGCAATTCATCATCAGAAAATATATTTGATAGAATATTGACTGTCAAATGCCGAACAAGGAGGCGCCTTTATATGCGACATTTCGATGAATATTTCTTGTCTTGGTTTTCAAAAACAGCGACAACAGTCATCTATTAAATTAATACAACATCACTTTTCCGAGGAAAGGTGACCGACCCGGCGCCTGTTAACTCTCCCGCTTACTGCTAGAATTGAGGGAGACCAATTAATTTTCTTATAGCAATGCTTAATAATGATCACATCCGTTGAAAAAGTATCGCCTACCAGAATACAAGACCCCGCGAAATATAATTATTGTCTAGGGGTTTAGAAGGAAACAACGTGTTCCAATGTACATTTGTACATATAAGCAACCCCTTGCCTGTTGGACTACATCCCGAGGAATAAGCCATTTGCGAGTTAAATTTGAATAAAATGTGGTGCTCTGAATTATCCGATTGCACGTAATCATGACATTTGAATTCCTCATACTAAAGACACTGTTGCTATACCTCGGGGCAAGCTTTCGCATAGCGACCACCATCTCTGGAATGGACTGGTTCCTTTGTTACCTTTTTATCCATTGCGAACAGTGTGTTGTGGCAAAGCGATTGAAGTTGTTATGTTCACGTAAATTTAAAGAACTCAGTGTACCAGATTTGGGTCAAAGTTAACTCGCAAAGGGCTAATTGGAGAAAGGGAGTACTCATGTGAACGCATGTGTTTGTGGCGTTCATAACTGAAATATCTTTTTTTCTGTTCGCTTTTTTCCCGCAAGTCGTGTTCACATGCTAAAAGCATCGCTGCAGAGAACAAGAAGTGTGACAGCATTGGGTAAAGAAATGTACTGTCAAAAAGTGTAAATTTCACACATGCACTTAATAAAGAAAAGGTTCTTTATTTCGCGTAACCTTGTAAATTGTAATTAACATGATCCTATTTCTAAGAAGTGTTTAAGGTTTTAGAGATGGTCAAGTTGAGTTGCAGAAATGTTAACACGGTGTTTTCTAACGTCATTTTGTGTTGTGTGCCTTTCTTGGGCTAATGCAGCAAAACACTTAATGCCCTTAATTTGTTCTTTAACGTTTCTCAGCCTGGGTTTACAAACATTTCTTAATCCGATTACTGTTTTTTTATTTTCAGTGCAACTCATAAGATGTTATAGAAATTCACTCTATTGGACTGAAAGCCAGGACTTTAACATTCGTTTTACCGTCTATTCAAGTGATTTCTCTTTTCAGAGTCTTTTAGTCTCTGAATGCACGAATGTTTGCTGAAAATCGTCTAGCCCCACCACAGAGAATAGACCTTTTCACTAATGATTCATAATTAAGCACGCATGTGAACAAATGGCCTTGACGGTAAAAGAAGTGCGAGAGGGCCTTGAAAAGGTACCGGGGTGCGACTTTGATGATCATTTTCTCTCAGGTTTTCTGTTTTTGTTTTTTCTTCAGAAAATCTCTTTAAATCGTTTTTGCTATCAATTGCTAATCTAAGCGGGATTTTTAGTGCTCTGTAAAAAGACTTTATAATGGTGATTTTTCCTGTGCGCACTGGATCGCCGTGAGCACGAAAGATAAAGTAACAATTATTAATGTTTTTCATGTTAATGTTTCCAAGAAGTGACAGGAACCCCGTGTAGCGTCGAGTGTTATGGACAAAAAGTAAACGCCTTCACGCTTTGCAGTTTTAAACAGCATGAAAGGTCACGTCAGTAACAATGTAATGCGTTATAAGTATGTGTCCACCTGTCTGCAAAAATCGGACTGAAGAAATGAGGAGCCTGATCCCTCCAGGAGAAATTCCAGGATCCTGGAAAATGTTTGATTTAGCAAATTACACTGTAAAAACGTCTAATGTTTGCGCAATCGCTTGTATTAGGGTGTGTGCCCTTAGTGTTTTTATTTATACAGGTCGTTCAAACAGTTAAAGCTGGTTTTCATTGCGGCCCTGTATCATTAGATATACATGTACATATAAAAATACACCCCCCCAAAAAAAATTTCAGAAATATTAAGATGTACTGTGAAAAGTATTAAGAAGTATTATAAAGTACAGTTAAACAGAGGTTCAGAACATTACACTGCTTACAGTCATTGCTCTTATCGAACGCTTTCTTCTGGAGTTATTTTGGGAATAAATACTAGCCACTTTTATAAAATATATTGTGTTTTATTTGAATCATTATTATTACGCATTTATACAAAAAAATATTCTATGAGATCTCATGATCACTCCTTGTGACCAAATAGCGTATTTTGTTGGTTGTTTGTTTGTTGCTGGTCAACATCTTGCTGGCCAGTCTTAGTAGATTCGTACAAAGACTTTGAAAACTGATGTTTTGGAGAGACAAAAATAAAAATCAAAAGTAGATCTAATATTTAATTTTTTTTCTCTCTTTATTTCCTGGTCACGGCGATAAGTTGTAGTTGCAAACAAAACACACCAAATATTGCTAGGATATCACTGGCCCCACTTGTACGGCTAAGCTGCAGGCAGAAATTGGGGCATTTTGGAATGTTTACTGTTGTGTGTCGAACCGGGTAGCAATGCTCATCGATCACTTTGAAGTGCCAGATTGTAACTCCTTCTCGATCTGTCCTTCCATCGTGAGAACGCCAACTTAATGAAGGGGTGTAACAACGTCACTTCTAATGTCATGAAGGTGGAGGGGACGAAAAAAGGGACGCACGAATCCTTGCTGAAAGGTATACACTTTTCCTATCTCCATGGTTCAACCAATCTTCGTGAAATCAAAAAGCGCGGGGCGGAATAGCGCCATCCTTGAAAGGTAGCGCTGTTCAGCGTGGACGATATCTGTTAATAAGCACACGGCGCCCTTCATTTGGCCTAGTCTAGAGCGAACTTCGTCAGTACTCGATAATGGACTCAATCGCGCATAAAATTTGCCGCGAGCGCTGATTTCCATTGCGCCATCTCGTGACTTCATTTCACCAATCGACCGCTCGTTCTATCCATAAATATAATAAGAAAACTATTCTTATTATATCTATGGTTCTATCTAACGTCTAGTGAATCACCTTCACACTGTTTAACTTTTTCATTGGATTTCCTCCGGATTTCCGGAGGAACCAATCAGCGCCCGGGAAAGTCCAGTTGAACCTGTATGCGATGAATATGGATCATGACCTGCATCGCATGACTTATTACGCGAAAAATGTACAATGTACATTTACAAATGCTACTACGGGTCGCTCAGTACTACTGAAGTTCCAGCTCTGTCACTGTTGATAATGGCCGCGGTCGATGTATTGGAACAAGGAGCGAAGAAGGAGGCCTGTAAAAAGCAAGCTGACGCTATTGATGCAAACCCGCTCCTACATTTCCACAGACAATTTTTTATCCTATTTCGCATCCTAGGGTTGTGAATTTTCATATTAACTGCTATTTTGCATGCAAAGGCCACGCCTCGGTTGCGGGAAATTCACAAGATCGTAGAACGAGCCGTCGTTTGGTGAAATGAAGTCACGAGAGGGCGCAATAAGAAATCGGCGCGCGGCATGTGCTCGATCGAGTCTACGTCTGCTATCGAGTTCTGCCGTCTTGGCGCCCAAGACTGCTACACTTGAAGTTTGCTGCCGGGCACGTTCTGGGTGCGATTTAAAATGTGCGCAGGGGCACTTTGAGAGAAAGGGCAACTGATTAGGGGGAAGGGGGCATTTATTTAGATACAAGAAAAAAACCCGATTAAAGGGGTCAATACGCCCAAACCAAGAGATATACGATTATAATATAAGGATGGATATAAAGTAGAAGCAGTGTGATTTCTAATGATACCTTGATTGCATCACTCCCTGTCATGTATCACTGAACACCCTTGTCTTCAAAATGAGGCATCAAAACTCAGTTGTAACACTTTGGTTAAACCAGAGAATGGAAGTTTGGTTTTTTTTCTGGGACACCCTGTATAACCGCTCCTTTGTAGTAGGCCTACTTATGTTTGGGGGGGGGGGTTGCTTGATTTTGGGTTGGTTTTGTTGTTGGTTTATTCGTTTATTTACTTGTTGGTATGTGGGGGAGTCAATGCCAAAGTTTGTTTGCTCTGGGTTAGTGTGCCTTTGCTGTTTTTATTTGTGAAATAATTATCCTCATGATGTTGTACGAAACTTACTGCTGTATGTTAGAAAGCCTCTCAACGATACTGCATGTACATGTACATGTATATAGCTTTTTAGGCAATCCTTCAGGCCTGCATGTGGTACAATTAAAGCTTTGATTGTTTGTTTGTTTGTTTTTTCAAGTTCTGCTCGGACAAGAAAGTTGCACTTGATCTCTTGTAGTTTGTTTGATACTCCTTATTCCTGTATTTCTTGTGCTTTGTAATTTTTAGGAAATTGAATTTTAATACTGTCAGATATTATTATTATTATTTTCTATTTTTTTATTTATTTATCTATTTTTTCACCTTGCACATGTATCGGAGAAATTGTATCATACCGATCAGTAGATTAGTATGAGTACACACGGCTATTCAAATCAGCCGCAGTCGCAAGTTTCGCGTTTGTTTCCCACGGGCGGCCTTTTACGCGCATAGTCTGAGATCCTTACCACTGACTAATGCACTATGGGTAGGGTATGCGTAGGGCACCGTGCTCCAAGTTTTGGACACGTCCACGTTTACACCAAATCACGTGACCAATTTTATCTTTCGCTGGTTGCGTGTTCACTTTAGCACATTAGATCAATGAGGTTCATCAGCATGCGGATACCAGGATTCTTCGATGAGCCTTTCCGTCGTCCATTTTACAGCGGGTGCTAGTTTTCAACCAGATTCTCTGCATACATCTTGGATTCTTTGCCGTGTCAAGTTGTTTGTTGCCCGCTAACTAGGGGCAGAAATCAAAATGGGTTAGTAAGTCATTGTATTAAAATTATAGAGATCAGTGTCTCATTGATGGTGTAAACATCAATTTAATTACAGGCATCAGGAGGTCGATAAACCTGAGGCCGGCCGAGGGCCTGTCAGACCATCTCCATGGTCAGACATGTCAGATGTTAACTTAGTCTGTACAGATGCTAGGCGTACATGTGTATAGCCGGTGATCAGTACCTTGGCTTTAGCACCCTGTTGCAATAATGAGTAAAACAAAGTCCACTTTTTCAAACTAACTGACATTCAGACCTTGAGGATCCACATTCCTTACTCCTAGTACGTTTAGGCCTAGTCTTTGTCGCTGTAGTTTAGGTAAATTTTGACAATATTCAAAATATTAAATTTCAGATTTTTATTAGGCCTACTTTAAAAAAATACTCGGTGCTAGGAAAAAAATTCTGGTGTTCATACCGTCTGCCGTCAGTCATTCTTCCCTATGTTTCCAAATTTATGGTAAATCAGAACTTTACTGTAAATCAATAATTATTTCTATTGTGGTTCTTTCCATTGTGGTTTCATCCTGTACCTTCATATATAATTTGAATTTGTTGCATGTTTTGTTGTTTCAGTGAAGTTCCTTGAAGTCTTGAAGCCGTTCTGTGCGGTGCTGCCTGAAATCTCTAAACCAGAGAGAAAGGTATGCCCACATTTCTATATCTCTACATTTCCTGGCATAGATTGAACCAGTTGTTTGAAATATACACACCTGTCAATTTAGGTACGTGTAAACACGCATTCTTTTCCCATTGAATCAACATGTCTGCCAGTTGTGCTACTGAACAAACAGTGCAGTAATCAGGGGAAAATTTTTTCTAATGTTACTTCATTACGACCAACCGACAATTATGAAATACGACAGCGTTTTTCATCAGACAGCACTAATAAAACAGGTAGATATTGAATGTTGTGGAATCTGTGGTTTTTTATTAGATGATTAGAAGGTTCGCGCAATCGTTAAAAAATTGGCCGGCATGCTATTTACAGGTTTTGAGACGCAGTGGTTAAACCGAGGCAAAACCGCTATGTATGATTATATATAATAAACCGAGGCAATTATAAAGTTAACAAAAAAGACATTGCCCACTTTGGCTGTGATGTTCTACACACCCTACACAATTGGAGCAAGATGTAAGTGTGTTTGGACTTGTTTTTGTTTAGTGATTTACAATACACAGAAGTCTGTTCCTATTGAATACTCAACAGATCCAGTTCAGGGAGAAAGTATTATGGACTGCCATCACACTGTTTATCTTCTTGGTGTGCTGCCAGGTAAGTACTTGGAGAGGTAACTCTAACTTTGCTGGACGTCGCAAAGTGATTGCAACAAGTGTGTAGGCCAGGTGGATTGTTTTATTGCACTGGGCAGTTGGCAATACTGCATTGCCTGTTGGACAGTGGGGAGTTGGTTCTCATTGAGCAATGCCACTGTTGGCTCCTGTGCTGGCTGGCAGGCTGCAACTCAGGCTGGCAGGCTGCAACTCAGGCTGTCGGGTGTCAGGGATAGTTGACCTATCAAATCCAGTTTTTTATCAAGGGGGTGTCTTGGTGTCCTTCGGGCACCGTGTGGGTTGTTAGGGACAGCTTGTTTTTGTTTCATGAATGCATTTTAAACCATGAAATCGGAGCAACTAGGATGCCCGCTTTTCTCATCAAAACAAATCTGGACACCACAGTGGCTAAAACCCTGGTTTTGTTGCACTGTGTTTTCTTCAGGAAGGGATTCATATTTTTGTTTTAAGGCAGGGCTTTTACCCGAAATGTATTTAAGTAATATGATATTGTGGAAATGTTATCAAAAAGAGACGTGAAAGCCAAGTCAGGCAAACTTTCTCATAGGGAAATCCCTTTACATGTAAGTTTACCATGGGAGAAAACAAAGTCCTGTTCAAATGTCCAAGGGTCGTCAAGCCTCACAAATAGTTCATCCAGTTGTGGCTGGCATAAAAAAATCCCCCTAGACCATCTTGGGGATTTCAAGAATTAGGGAGGGTTAGTGTTCAGATGTTATACTCTTTCTTTGGTACTGCAGTTTGCACCTTTGACCTTTTACTGTTTCCTACACCCAAACAGTGTATGCTTTTTTCAGCTCCCAATGGACATTGTTGCTTTTCAGATTCCTCTGTTTGGAATTATGTCCTCGGACTCAGCGGATCCCTTCTATTGGATGCGTGTGATCATGGCATCGAACAGAGGTAAGCTGAGCTTTTAATTAAAACCTTGTAACCTGATCGGGTTTGCAGTAAAATTAGTGCCACACGCTGAATGCAACA